AACTTGAATACAACTGCAGGCGGCTTTCCACCTATAAATTTTACTTTGCCGAAGTATTTTAAATCAACCATGAGTATACAAGGTAAGTGATTTACTCAGAAGCTTTGCAGATATGAAATTAATGAATTGCCTTAAATATTATCTTGAAGGTTTTAACTCGGAAGAAGAAATGGTTACTTATGCAAAGGACTCGTTCTCTAACCAGTGTTCAAATCCTTTACTAGGTATGGCTATACATAAGCTGTTTTATTAATATTAATACTTCTTTTCAATATTTCTAAGATCAATGGGCTCTGACGTATATCAACAGATATTCATCCTGAATTTAATTGGTATTTAATTTGAAATACAACCAACAATTTCTGTCCTTTTTATAAATCCCAAACTTACTAGGACCTGCAGATGTTGTTTTAAATGGCGCAAGGAATCATTAAACATGCCTCTCATTGCTGTTGCTGAGCCATGGGCAGACAAGAGACAAAAATTCCAAAATCCGCTAAAGTCATTGTGCTAACCACTATGTAAATACATTGTTCTCCATGCCATGTCGATAATGCTGTCAATTACAGTATTTTACAGCAAAGGTAAAAACATATCTCAGGAATCTTGTTGGTTCATACAGCATTGTGATTATTACGTCATGAGAGAGTAGGAAGAGGGTAGCTTGGTGAAATGATAAGATCTTTCATTTCCACACCAGGTTAAACTTCCTTCATCCAGTTAAGGGCTCGTCGTCAAAGCTTTTTGATGGAAGAGCTTATAATACAAGCTGGCCTCGGTATTCACTATTTGAGCCCGATGCAATCAAGTTCCTTCACATATAAGAATATTGGATTGGGATAAAAACAGATAATGAAAGAGAAAACGCTTTTCTTAGCGCTGAAATTTAAGTAGGATAAAACAAGCAGATCTTTATAACTTTACGTTGCAACTCTGCTTGTTTTATCCTAGATTAACTTCATACGCACTTACTGCTAAGAATTAATATAGCAGTTATAAATCATAGTTGTATAGGTTTTCCCTTATTAAGAGCTTTTTCTAATTTTCACAGTAAGGGGATAACTTCAAATTTTGTAAAAAGATAGCTGTAAACAATTTTTAAAAAATATTAGTGTCTTTTTTAAAGTACGAGTGCGACTATTTTTGCTTTTTAACAGGCACGAATGTCTCCTACCTTCGATTCCATCAAGTTTAGCTTATATGAAAATTCCAAACACAATAACCAGTTTCAGCTGGCATCACCTTTGGAGAATCTATAGCTGAACGAATTACAACTGATGCTGATCTCGAATACACTATCAGGCTGTCTAATACGAATCGGCGAAGTACAGGAGTAAGTACGGGAGCATATCAATTAATTCAGACAAAATGTTCACTGATTTTCAGCCCACAGGTTCCAGCACGCCATGGAATACGAAATTAGTCTTTGCTGTACAGTTCATTAGTGGTCCTATCAACTCTA